ACTATATTATACACCATGGCCGACGCAAGTCTGAAACTCATATACTTGTCTCTCTTTTGCAGACTCATTACCCCCAACTCAAAGAAACACAAGAGAAACCAGACATACTATATTATACACCATGGCCGACGCAAGTCTGAAACTCATATACTTGTCTCTCTTTTGCAGGCTCATTACCCCCAACTCAAAGAAACACAAGAGAAACCAGACATACTATATTATACACCATGGCCGACGCAAGTCTGAAACTCATATACTTCAAGGGCAAAGGCCGTGCTGAGATGGCTCGTCTGTTGCTGGCAGCCGCCGGGAAACAGTACGAGGACGCCAGACTGTCTCAGGATGAGTGGAAGGAACAGTTCAAACAGAGTAAGGATAATATGTTCAAGACTATTGGTCTTGCTCTTGTCAATAGTATAAATGGTGTTATTTATGTGTGTGTGTGTGTGTGTGTGTGTGTGTGTGTGTGTGTGTGTGTGTGTGTTTTGTCTGTGCCCATAGGCTTGGGGTGCATCTATTGAAGTACAGGATGAGTTAATAATACGGTTTATAATGTTATAAGTTATTAAGTTGGTGATTTCAATTTTATTTGTTTTGGTGGGTGGTGGGTGCTCTGGTGTGGTTTGCTTCTTCTTTCCTATCAATCAACAATCGTCCTTATCTCCCCTTCTTTTGTATGTTTGTTACTCTCTTGTAACACCTCTATTCTTCTGGCGCTCATATGACCGTATGCAGTTGTGAGCCCGTAAAACATCTTCTAAAGCTAAAACTAAACAATTTGATTTGTGAAGCCTCACGATATTATTATGATTTGATGCCCTCTGTAAATTGTGCTGCTCTCGAAGTGGGTCTTTTAGGAGCTAGGCTGTCCGTCCCACGCAAGTGGTTTATGTTGAAGACCTTTCAGATACATTTTTGCGCTAACTACTTTGCACTTTCCGAAAGATGGCTCAGAATAGAATACTACCTTTGGGATTCTGAAATAAGACGTTCTTACGACATAGATAGACCAGCGAAGCTGAGTTCTTTTGAGTTTCGAAAACAGACTCTCGGCATTTGCTCAGTCGAGAACTTCTGTGTCTGGTATTGTGTCTTGCTGTTTGATGCCAAAGATTCTCCTTTGGTTTTTCATGTGGATATGGTTTAATTAACTTCTTGACAAGGCTTCGGTTCACTGTTCTGGTCTCAGCGCCGTACAAAATGGTTGGGAGAACAACAGCATCACAACGTAATATCTCCATACACATTGAATTATATTATTATTCTCAGAATGAGCTCTGTGTTGTTGAAGTTTAAAATATTATTTTCTTTTGACTCTGTGTTTGCTCGCTTCTATTCGCTACCTTAGAATTAGAAAGTTCTATCTGATATTTTTGGCCGTTTTGAGTTACCAAGACCATGACATCAGAAACGAAACGTTCTGTTTGCTTGATAAAAATCGTAAGATTATTCGGAGTCGTTATCAAAATAAAGAACTGCATTCGAAAAAGCTTGTAATGTTGTGGAACTCAAAATTGTTGACGTAAAATTTTCTCAAAACTGGGTACTGAGCAGATAGAGCTTTGACATTCTAAAGTAGCGATTTGTCTTTATTGTTGTCATTATCACGTTTAACAGTATCACCATTACAGCTAGTTTGCGATACGTCGTCATATGTGAGGCAGCGTGGCTCTCGTCAAAATAATCAAAGTGAAAAAATTGCATTTTGCCGCAGGTTTGTGAATTTTTATAAAAATTTTGTTTTTTTGGCTCCAAACCTTTCATGCCCATTAAAGAACTCATTTCTGTGTGGATTTTTCTGAAATACGTTGATTAAAGGTACAAAAAAT